TTTGGGGATATTTTGGGGTGGTTTTGGGGATATTTTGGGGTGGTTTTGGAGTGATTTTGGGGGATATTTTGGGGTGGTTTTGGGGATATTTTCGGGTGGTTTTGGGGTGATTTTGGGAGATATTTTGGGGATATTTTGGGGGGGTTTTGGGGATATTTTGGGGACATTTTGGGATGGTTTTGGGGATATTTTGGGGGGGTTTTGGGGATATTTTGGGGATATTTTGGGGGGGTTTTGGGAATATTTTGGGGATATTTTGGGGAGGTTTTGGGGATATTTTGGGGGGGTTTTGGGGGGTCTCGGGGGTCCGGACCCCCCAGTTCTGCCCCTCCCCAGGAGCAGCCTGGAGGTGCCGGAGATCAACGGGCTGGAGGTGAACCAGAGGGTGAGGGGGGGTCCCGGGACCCCAAAAACCCCAAAAACTTCCCAAAAACCTTCCCAAAAACCCCCAAAAACCTTCCCAAAATTAACCCCAAAACCTCCCCTAGAAAAACCCCAAAAACCTTCCCAAAATTAACCCCAAAAACCTTCCCAAAATTAACCCCAAAATCTTCTCAAAAAAAAACCGAAAACCTCCCCAAAAACCCCCAAAACCTTCCCAAAATTAACCCCAAAATCTTCCCCAAAAAAACCCCAAAATCTCCCCAAAAACCCCCAAAACCTTCCCAAAATTAACCCCAAAATCTTCCCCAAAAAAAAACCCAAAACCTCCCCAAAAAAACCCCAAAATCTCCCCAAAAACCCCCAAAACCTTCCCAAAATTAACCCCAAAAACCTTCCCAAAAAAAACCCTAAAAACCCCTAAACCTGCCTCAAAAAAAACCCCAAAAACTTCCCCTAAAGACCCCAAAACTTCCCAAAATTAACCCCAAAAACCTTCCCCAAAAAACCCAAAAACTTCCCAAAATTAACCCAAAAACTCTTCCCCAAAAAAACCAAAAACCTTCCCTGGGGGGGATTTTTTGGGGATTTTTGGGGGGAATTTTTGGGGGGTTTTTGTGGGATTTTGGGGAAAATTTTGGGAGGTTTTTTGTGGGATTTTGGGGGTTTTTTGGGGG